CTCATCTGTAAAACTGGGATAATAACAGCATCTATCTCCCAGGGTTGTTGTGAGGATCAAATGAGATAATTGATTAGAATAGGCAAAGAAGAAACAAAGCTATCACTCTTTGCAGATGATATGATGATATACTTAGAGAATCAAGTAGAAAACTACTTGAAAATGAGATGATTGTAAAGTGCTTAACACCTTGTAAGTCACAGAACAAATCCCTGACTCCAACCCTAAATGCCTCCCACTCCAACCCCTTAATGAAAGGATTTGTTCTGTGAAGTTTGGATTCAGTCAAAGGGCCTTACTTGAGGACCTAGAGGGCCACAAGGGGATGTGGCTCAAGTATATTAATAACTATGACTTAGACATCCTAAATGTGGCTTCAGAGAATGAATGGGTACCCAAGGTTTAAAAAAAATTTGTTGTTCTCAAACCATTTATTTGGACAATCTCCTCCTCCCCGTTTGAAGATTCCTCCTGTCTTCTTCCGATTGGGTATCTGTTGTCTGCCCATCCTGCATTTCCTCTGGACAGGAGGAATATTTTACTTTCTGTTTTTCCCAATACTCCCATCATCTCTACCAAGTGAAATCACTGAATATCAGAGCTGCACCGGAACTCAGAAATCATGGAGATCATCTCATTGCAGCCCAGAGAGGTTAAGCAACCTGTCCTAGGTCACACAGCTAGTTGGCAGCATAGCCTGTAGTCTAGCCCAGATCTCCTGACTTCCAATTCAGTATTCTTTTTCACTGTGCCAAATCCCCTGTATTCTGCCTTCCTTTAAAGTTCAGTGAAAACCACCTCCTACAGGAAGTCTTCCTTAACCCCCCTACCTGGTGGTAAGACTTCCCTTCTCTGAAGCCCTCTGGCTCTGTGTCTGAGCCTCCTTCATGGTTCTTGTCACATAACATTCTGCTTTGTATTGGAGCTAGGTTGGATCTTTGCCAAGTTCTCTTGTCCATCTGTTGCCACCTTGGGGTAGCCTGGCACAGAGCCCTGCATACAGAAGGCACTCAGGAAGTACATAATGGGGAAGAGGAAGAGAACAAGCTCTTATTAAGTGACTACTATGTGCAGGCACCTTGTCTCCACTTCTATGGCAAGAATTTTCATTCACTTTCATTCACTCCTGGTCAAGGACAAAGCTTGAGTGCCTGAGCAAAGATTCATAGGCTGTGTCAGCATAGATGCTTATCTCTTCTATAGCAGGGGTTGTTTTGATGCCTTGCAAATACCACCTCACCAGACCCTAACCCTAATTCTAATCCTACCTTGCACTAATATAGGTTTTGCAAAGTGTTTTACACATGGTATCTCATTTTATCCTCAAAGCTGGGAAGTAGTGCTATTATTATCCCCATTTCACAAAGGAGAAAACTGAGGCTGAGAGATATTAAGGGACCTGCCCAGGGTCACAGAGCTAGTAAATGCCCGGTGCCCAAAGTTTGGTCTTTCTGACTCCTATACTCTGTCCGCGAGCCCTGCCCCCTGCTGGCTTCCTGTTAGATGACTATGTTGAATTAGATTGGGTCCATGGTTTGTGTTTTGTGTCATGGATCCCTTTGGTAGCCTGGTCAGACCTAATACTACCATGCTTTGTTAAGTCCATCCAAAACTAAGGAATGCTAATTAAAGTTAGTGGAAATAAAGATGTACACTTTTTCCATCCAAGGGCTCCCAGAAATTTTCCCAAGTGACCCCTGAGGACCCTGAACTAGATGGTTTCTGAAGTTTAATGAAAGAATGTAACGGGCTTTGTAGGATGTTGGGTTGGGAAGAGGAGGAATTCATATGCTCAGAGTTTTTACCACTAGGGGGTGCAGCTGCTCCACTCAGTCCAGGCCTTTACTTAGAAAAAGGATGAATGACCACCAAGGAAGGGGCTAGAGCCCGTGTAGGAGTTAAGGAGTTGGACCTTTGAGTGTATAGGGTTACCCATCATAGCTGGCCAACAGTCCTCCTCCTCCTGCACCCTGTTCTTTGGGGAAAAGGGTCTATTTTTCCTTCAAAACTAAACAGTAGCAGCCTGCCTTTATGTGGCACTCTGAAGTTTGCAAAGCACTTTACAAATATTATTTTATCTTCACAGTCTTGGGTGACATGCTTTTAAGATCTTCATTTTAGAGACGAGGAAACTGAGTCAGGCAGTGGTTAGGCAGCTAGCTTAGTGAAGAAGGCTGGATGTGGACTCCAGTTTTCCAGACTCCATGTCTGACGTTCTGTTCACTGAGCCAACTAATTGCCTTGATGTAGGGAGCGGAAACATCAGATCCCGATGGCATTTTGGAGCCAGAAGAGACCCTAATCCATCTAGTCTAATCTCCTTTTGTTTACAAAGGAAAACATTTTAAACTCCCCCCACCCACCCAATTGTTCTCTCCCTTCTACCTTTCCCTCCCTCAATTAGGAAAAGAAAAACTAAATCCTGTTGTTGTTGTTGTTGTTGTTGTTGTTTTTAACAAATATGTATAGTCAAGCAAAACAAATTCCCCAACCTGGCCATGACCAAAATTTGTCTCATTTACAGGGATGAAAATTGAGGCTCAGGGAGGTGAAGGCATATGGATAGTAAGATGTTCTAGAACAGAAGCTCTTACCAAGGGGTCCATGGATGGATTTCAGGGGATCCTTGAACCTGGAAAATATCACATCTTGGGTTTTCATTAACATTTAATTGAAATTTGGGATCTCTTTGAATTATTTCAAAACATAATTCTAGGAAAAGCTTCACCAGACTGCCGGGAGAGCCCATGATACAAAAAGGGTTAAGAGGTTCCACTATAGAAGCTACTTCCCATGCTCAGACTTCCCTGTTGTTTTAGATCTCTCTGTCTCTCTGTCTGTCTCTGTCTCTGTATCTCCCATTTCCCCTTCCTCTCTCTGACACTCTCTCCCTCTCTCTCTCCCTCTCTCTCTCTCTCTCTCTCTCTCTCTCTCTCTCTCTCTCTCTCTCTCTCTCTCTCTCTCTCTCTCTCTCTCTCTCTCTCTCTCCCTCCTTCCTCTCCCTTCTGTCTTTCTTTGTCTCTCCCATCTCTCCCCCTCCCCCTCTCCCATTTCTCCTCCTCCCCCTTCTCTCTTCCTCCCCCTTCTTTCTTTTTCTGTCTGTCTCTCTCATCACTACCCTCCCCCTCTCTCCTCCTTCTTCTCTCTTCTCTCTCCCATCTCTCCTCCTCCCTTCTCTCTCTCTCCCCCATCTCTGCCCTTTCTCTTTCTCTCTCCCCTTCTCTCTCTCTCTTTCCCCGCCTCCCTCCCTCTCCTTTTTTGTCTTTCTCTATCTCTTTCTCTCTCATCACTCTCCTCCCCCTCCTCTTCCTCCTTCTTCTTTTTTCTCCTCCTTCTTCTCCTTCTCCTCCTCCTCCTCCTCCTTCTCCTCCTCCTCTTTCTCATCTAGCCCCTCCCTTCTCTTTCTCTCCCCTATTTGTCCCATCTCTGCCCTCCCCCTTCTTTCCTCCTTTCTCTTTTTCTCTCTCCCCTTCTCTCTCTCTTTCCCTGCTTCCCTCCCTCTCCTTTTCTCTCTGTCTTTCTCTCTCTCATCACTCTCCTCCCCTTTCTCCCCCCTCCCTCCTCTTCCTCCTCCTCCTTTTTTTCTCCTCCTCCTCCTTCTCCTCCTTCTCCTCCTCATCTCCCCCTCCCTTCTCTCTCTCTCCCTCATTTCTCCCATCTCTGCCCTCCCCATTCTCTCCTCCTTTCTCTTTTTCTCTCTCCCTTCTCTCTCTTTCCCCACCTCCCTCCCTCTCCTTTTCTCTCTGTCTTTCTGTCTCTCTCTCTCATCACTCTCCTCTCCTTCCTCCCCCTCTCCCTCCTCCTCCTCCTCCTCTTTCTCCTCTGCCCCCCTTCTCTCTCTCTCCCCCATTTCTCCCATCTCTGCCCTCCCCCTTCTCTCCTCCTTACTCTTTCTCTCTCCCCTCCTCCTCCTTCATCTCCTCCTCCTCCTCCTCTTTCTCATCTCCCCCCTCTTCTCTCTCTCCCCCATTTCTCCCATCTCTGCCCTCCCCATTCTCTCCTCCTTTCTCTTTTTCTCTCTCCCCTTCTCTCTCTTTCCCCACCTCCCTCCCTCTCCTTTTCTCTCTGTCTTTCTGTCTCTTTCTCTCTCATCACTCTCCTCCCCTTCCTCTTACTCTCCCTCCTCCTCCTCCTCTTTCTCCTCTGCCCCTTCTCTCTCTCTCTCTCCCCCATTTCTCTGAAGTGACTGACTCTTATTCTATGTGTGATCTTGAGCCAGTTCCCTCCCCTCTCTGGGCCTCAGCTTCTTCCTACGTACACTGATGGAGGAACTCTAATCCCTAGTGCCCCTTCTGGATCATATATACCATTTTCAATTCAGTTAACACTTATTAAATATCTAGTCTCTTGGGCAACAAAGACAAAAACAAAAGCCCATGAGCCTCAAAGAGATGGCAGGCTACAGATGCCATATATATATATATATATGTATATATATATATATATATATATGTATATATATATAATATATATATATATATATATATATATATATATATATATATATATATATATATGTATATATATATATATATATATATATATATATATATATATATATATATATATATATATATATATATATATATATATATATATATATATATATATATCTTACTGCCTCCCCCCATTGTACCTTCTCTAGACCACTCTCAGGCTGTTTGGCATATATAGGGCAAGGTAGGGAAGTGATAGGAGCAAAGACAAAGAACCAGGAAAAGTGTTCAAAGAATATTAGAGAAATCATCCAGCTGGGGTGAATCAGAGGTAATCCACAAGTATTTATTAAGCACTTACTCTGGGTGCTAACATTGTGCTGGGTGCTGGCCATAAATAGAAAAGGAAGGAGACGATACCCACTTGGTAGGAGGTTTCCTTCTAATGAGGGATGCTGGCACCTGAGCTGTGTGTGCCATGAAGGAAGAGAGATTTTGACAGGAGATGAGGAGGGGGAGTGGATTTCGAGAAGGACAGCAGGCCCTGATGTTCTAAATTTTGTTCCAAGATCTCTTCCAAATCTGACATTGTTTTAAATTCTATGTTTTAAATTCCGACTTTCTCACCAGCCCAATCACTGTTCCAAACACCCATCCACACGCCCAGGAGCCTCTCCCACACATGCCCTGTCCCACAGAAAGCTCTGGTCCCATCACTTTTGGGAGGTGGGGAGGACAAGCTCAGGAAAGAGAGCTGGGATGCCAAACAGTCTGAGAGTGGCCTAGAGAGGGTACAATGGGGGAGGGGGTCACCATACTGTTCCCCAGGGCTAGGTCTCCCGATCCTTTCCTCTAGCTGGAGGCGGGGGCTCCAGTTACAGCCCCCCTTCTGTCCACCCTCCCCACACTTCCCTGCCTCATTGGCTGACTGTGGGAGGGGCGCGGCCTGGGCTGCAGCCAGATGTTGGGAGCAGCAGGAGAGAGGGAGAACAGAGCCGTCCGTCCTCCCAACTCCACTCCAGCGATCCCTGCCCAAGCCACAGACGTCCTGTAGCAGCGGCTGCTGGAGTGGAGAGGGCCTGGGGGGGGAGGTGCTGGCCCCAGTTGGGGCCTTTCTCCCTAGTCGGGAATGCGCAGCTCCCGGCTGGATAGCTTCCTGGGACAGTTCCGTCTGGAGTTGGTGAGCTTTCTGCCCTGACAGTGCAGACCTGGGGAGTAGGCACAGTGGGGAACTGTGGAGGGACCCCTAGAGAATTGGGGAGCAGCTAGCTCCTTTGCTACTTTTCTGCTAGGCACTGAGGTGGGTTCTTAGTGGAGGGGGAATCTTGGGAAGGCAGAGGCCTGCTCCCCAGGAAGAGAAACTAGAATGATTTCTGGGGCACCCCAAGGCTCAGTTTCTCCTCCGACAGCCTTGACCCCAGAACAAGACAGGAAGTAGCTGTCCCCGCCCCCACTCCCCAGCCAGCTCACCCCACCATAGATGTATTAGAGGAACATAGTACCTTGGACTTGGCATCTCTATGGGTAGTGAGTATTCAGGGATGGGGGCTTTTTGCAGACACGGTTATGGAGGACCTGTGGTCCTATATTAGGTCCGTGTTTGCCCACGCGTGTGGGGCTGGGGGAGGGGCACCCCAGCTGGCTGGAGCTGCCCTGGCAGATGGCTGGGGTTGGGTTTCGGACGGTTGGGGAACTTTGGGGGCTGTCCCGGGCATCAGGTAACAACATCCTGGCTAGCCATGCTTGGCAGAGGGCCTCCCTCCCCCTACCTTCTACATCCAAGAAAGGGGGAAAAAAGGCTTTTGAGCACAAAGGGAGAAACTAAGGCAGGCAGGCAGGCAGGCACCTAAGCCTACCCGGCTCCAATGGTAGCCAGGAGGAACTCATATATCTAGCAGCTTCTATCTCAACAGCTGTGCTTTTTGTAGCTGACTGAGGGTGGGGGGTTGGGTGGGTCGGAGCGAGGAGGGCTGTCTGCTGCCAGTTATGGGCCTAGGGGTAAAAAAGGGAGGGGGGGGACTCAGCTAGCTTGAGTGTGACAAGGACAGGAGGGAAGAAGGGGAGACTTTATCATGTTCCGGGGGCTGCTTCCCCCTTACTCGAGCCAGGATAGAACTAGGATTGGAATGGGGGGCTGAGACAGTAGCTCCCTGGGTCAGCATACAGGCTCCCTTACTCTGCCCTGCCCTAGTTCCTTTCCTCCTCCCCAGCTCAGCTCAGCTCAGCCCAGCCCAGCCCGACCCATCCTGGCCCAACTTCTCCATGCCTGCTCTCCACCACCCCCGGGCTGCCTGCAGCGGGTGCTGACTTGCCTGCTGGGGAACATGCTGCAGCCTGCCAGCCTGAAGAAAGCAGGGAGCCAGGAGGTTGGGGGGCCAGGCACGTGGCAGCTGCTGCCGGCTGGGCAGGGTTACGCGTGCCAGGGGGCCAGGCAGGCTTTTGGTAGGTGTCCCACCTGTTTCTGGTATGCGCTACCCCATGATATAAGTGCCCCCATTGGAGGAAATAGGCTGCAATACCCCAAATTAGACAGAGCACTTGGGGCCCAGTCCCCCCTCCCCCATAACATTTTCCACTAGCAGGAAGATACTCTTGGCCCCTGCAAATCTGGACTCCTTCTAGGCTAAATGTGAAAAGCTGGGATGGGGGAGAGGAGGGAATCTCAGGGTGGACCCAGCATAAAGCATGAGCACTGTGCTTGATCCTGGAGGTGGAGGTTCATGTCCCTGGCCTGCCATTTACCAGCTTTGTAACCTTAGGCAAGTCATTTTACCTCAGTTTCCTCATCTGCAAAATAAGAATACTTGTCCTTATGTGTTATAACGTAAGAACAATAAAAGTGTTGCTAAAATTTATTCTAGTCCAGCCTTTGCTATTAATTCGTTATATGGGTTAGAGGTTTTCACTGCTCAGTGCCTCAGTTTCCCCATATTTCATATGAAGATGGAATAATCCCAGCTCTCATGACAACCAACAGTCTTCACTGAGTGCCTACTGGAAGCAGGCAGTGAGACCTTTCTCTCTTGCATCTCTAAAATAGGGATGGTAATATCGAATGGCTTTGACCTTTGCTCTTTCCTCTCTCCTTCAGCTGTGCGGGCGGGAAGAGCCAGGCTCCCCACGGATGCAGGGTCCCTCACAGCCACCCCCCCCAGAGCCAGCCAGTGGCCCCCGGCCCTGCCACCCACCACGAGCCTCGGATGCCTCCGAAGCAGACTCGGCCTGCTGCCTAGAAGAGGACGAGGAGGAGGGAGCTGCACTGTCCCACTGTGAACGCACCCTAGACTGGGACTCAGGCTACTCAGAGGTGTCAGGGAGCACCTGGAGGGATGAGGATCGGCCAGTGCTTAGGAGGGTGGGCCGCCTACGGGGCCGAACCAGCCCCCCATCTGGACGTCGACCGCGCCCCAAATCTACTTCTGACATCTGTCTGGAGCAGTGGCGGGGACTAGATGCAGAGGACTGGACAGCGTGTCTACTGTCCCGGAGCCGAAGCCGCCAGCCCCTGGTGCTAGGGGATAACTGCTTCGCAGACCTGGTGGAGAACTGGATGGAGCTTCCTGAGGCAGCTGGTGAAGGGTGCCCGTCGGCGCCCCCTCGCTGGTTGGGAAAGCCCCACCACTTCTTGCTCAACCTCTCGGACCATCTCAGGCGCAGGCTGGGTGGGGGCGGGGGCCGGGCCCGGGGCCCCTCTGGAGCCGTGGCAGCCCCCCAAAGGAGCAGCCCAGCAGCCATGGCCGCCAAGCGCCTGTCCTGCCCCCCTGCCCCTGGGTGCCCCCTCCCCTCACCGGACCTTGCTTCAGACTTTACTCACTTTGCTGCTCTTATGAGGAGCCGCAGCCGTCAGCCCATCATTTGCAATGATGTCATTGGTTACATTTGACACCTCTTCTCTCCACCCCCATCCCCAACCACGGACAATAAAGGGTTTTCTATCAGACCCCGATTTCTCCTTCCTTAGCAGGGAGCAAAAGGGGTTTGAGGGAGGAGCCCTGCCCCTAAGACAGCTCAGCAGGGTCTTTGGGGTACACCAGGCATACCCCACCCTTAGAATCACAGGATTACAGGATTCAGATTCTACCAATTCTCTCATTGTCCATATGCAGAAGCTAAGACCCAGAGTGGATAAGAGATTTGCCCAAGGTCACACAGAATCTAGCAGAGCAAAGATTCAGATCCTGACCCCTTGACTGCACAATATGCTACATTGCACCATTTGGTCTGAAGAGAATCCCAGCTGGCTTTGAGGCATGGTCCCAGGATGCTGGGACAGGGCCACGACTGGGAGCAGGCAGTGAGAAGGGGGCTGGTTCCATGGTTTAGGTAGCCTACAAACTTGCCTTGGGCAGATATCTTCCCTTCTGGGCCTCAGTTTCTGGGGACTGGATTGGTTGATGTCTAAAGTCTTTTCCAGTTCTAAATCTCATGATTTGATGAAGGAGCAGAGCCAGTATTGTTACCAGGGAGGATGCCCGGCAATGACGCAGTAAGGCGCCTGAGTCTCCAACGGGGTGAGGGGAGATGGGAGAAAAAGGAAAAGAGGGGCTCGGTGTAGCAGCCTGTTCCCTGGGTGGGAGAGGCAGAATCCTGGGCTGGAAGAGAGTCTGATTGGCTGGCAACGTTTCAAGCAATTTTTTTTTCTGATATCCAATTGGCCACCATCACCTGGATCTAGTTAACGCTTCATCAACGGTTTTATTAATGATTCTGGGGCTGGGAGCTCAGCCGAGTGCTCCTCTTTGTGGTCTGGGCTCAGCAGAGGCAGTAATGCAATGGGGGTAAGGTAGTGTCCTCCTCTTCGTCCTCACAGATGATCTCAAACACCAGCTCCTTTTGGCCCACCTCGGCTCCTTGTCAGTCACCTGATGCACCAATTCTGTCACCCTGTGGGGGAGGATGGGTGGGTATCCGTAGTCAGACTCAGGGCAAGGGAGCAAAGAGGAGAGGAGAGAGAGCCATAGTTGGGGGCCCAGGCAGGGGGGCGGTGAGAAACAGGAGCAGCTCAAGACAGGAAACATCTGAAACTATTTTAGGAGAGAGCTAAAGGCAGAGAGACAGGAAACGGGCCATTCACTTAGAGAAACAGCCCTGAGCAGCAAGTAGGGTGGGGATCTGGCCCTGTCCCCAGAACCAAGTCCAGGACATGCAGGATGGAGTGGGCAGCCGGACTGGGGGATGCTAGCTTCTCCCCGGGGAAAGGCAGGACCCTAACTCTGCTCTTACCTAGCTACCTCCGTCCTCCCCTTTCCTTCCCTCCTCCCACCTTCTACTGATTCCATTTGGCAGCTCCATTTGGTTGCAGGAAACTGCCAGGGAAGTGTGAGGGGCCCCTTCAGTGGGGACAGGGAGGGAAGAAAAGGTTATGGCAATGGGTCAGCTAATGATGGGACCCCAGGAGGCTTGCTGCTGTAACACTGGCTTTATCACGCCTGTGCTATGTAGTAGCTGGATGGCATTAAGCACATCACCGAACCCTTCTTGTGCTGTTTTCTCATCTGTAAAATGAAAGGGTTAGATGAGACGATTTCTCAGATCCCCTCCCACTTCAAATCCTGCAACATTCTCTACTCTTGCTACCTGACCCACACACGGATCCTTCCTATGCCCCCATCCCCAGTTCCTCTTTGGTGGAAAAGTCATGGCCCTGCCACAGAAAGTCCTGTCCTTCTGGCCAAAGCTAAGGGATCGGGAGTCTCCCTCTGAACCCCCTGGGCTCTTACCCAGCCCCCACCCTCAAATCACACAGACCTGGGCCTCTCCTGGGAGGCTCCTCTCACAGCCTGGAGGCACTGGCCCATTTCGGCTGTGTCCCAGAGGAATGTTTTCCCTGGTCCCCACAGCTGCTCATTCATCTCATCCCCTTTCCCTCCTTCTCCTCCCCAAAGGGTAGCCTCTGAATGGGAGTAACTTCTCTGGGCCTAGAGCAGTGCCTTCCTCTCTGAGCAGCCTTCAAGCTTGGATCTAGCCAAGGCCCAGAGAAGACGAAGGAAGGAGGGGGAAGGGAATGAGCATTTCTTTCGGGCCTACTATGTGCTAGGCACATAAGCACTAAACTTTTTTTCTTTGGGGTGAGGCAATTGAGGTTAAGTGACTTGCCCAGGGTCACACAGCCAGTATCAAGTGTCTCAGGCTGGATTTGAACTCAGGTCCTCTAAACTCTTTACAAAATTATTATTCCCATTTTACAGACAAGGAAACTGAAACAGAGGTGAAGTGACTTGCTCAGGGTCATACAGCTACTATGTGTCTAAGGCAGGATTTGAACTCGGGTCTTCCTGGCTCCAGGCCCAGAGCTCTATCCACCGTGCCACCAGCTGCCTCTGAAGAGTATGAAGAACATCTCTAATCCTTCTGGGAAAGGGATACTGGGATGTAAATGGCTCCTGGAACAGAGAGGAAGCTGATCTTTTATACAGGAGAACAGGGAGGTGGGCAGCAGAGAGTGAGAACCCTAGGGGGTACCTCAGAAAGGAGAGGTTGGAGGAGGCCTGGACCCCCTCTCCTCCAGACTGGACCTCACCTGAGCTGGAGGTTTTGCTGGGCCTCTGGGCAGCCCCTTAAGTACAGGAGATAGGTGTCCAGCAGTAACATGGTCACTGGAAGGTCATACTCCTCCTGGGGGTTAATGGAGATAGGACAAAGGCCCTGCTGAGCCCTAAGCTGGCTCCATACATGTGGAGGGATCCATGGGGTGGGTTGGGAGCCACAGAGGACACTGGTGGGGCAGGTAGGGGGAGGGTGTGGGGAAGAGACTCCTTCAGGGAGAATCTACGCTGTGAGTCCTTTCCTGGGAGGGAAGGAAGAAGCCAGGACCATTAGGATCTGGGCCTGGGGGCATTTAAGGTATGTGCTGGTCTGCTGCTGTGTATCTAAACTTGGGGCAAGGCAGATTGGGCACTGGAGGTAGGGGAGATCTGAGCCCCTAGACACCGGGTCCCATCTTCCAAAGAGGGATATGTCCCAAGTCCCTAGGTAATTCATCCATTCCCCATTTGGGGAGGGATAGAAAAAAGGCCATTGCTAAGGGCTTGTGCAAAGGCAAGGGCTATGTGACTGTGTATGATGAGATCTGGCAGATAGGTGGGGCTAGGTTCACCTTGAGATAGGTGAGCAGGTCCTTCAGGGTCATCTCAGGCTGACCTGGGGCAGGAGCAGGCACTGTCAGCCGGTTCCAGCGTGTCCACTTCATACCACGATACTGTTGGGTGAGCAGAGATGTGGGTGTCAGCAAAGAGCCCACAGTGCAGACTCTATAACAAGGCTTCAAAGAAGTGGAAACACCCTGGAACCCCTTCCTTCTGGCTTGCAGAAGTAAGAGCTAGGGCTGAAGAACCAGGCCCCAGTCTCCTACTTTGGAAAGGGACAGAGCTGGACAAGAGCATCTTCCCTGACAAATTCCTTGTTTCTTTGATTAAGAGCCTGGCTCACGGAAATCTTTGGAAGCAGAAAGCAGTGAGTGGGAAAGGAAGGGGAGCAAGGAAGAAGAGGCCCATAGCCCCCTCCTCAGCCTGCTTTCCCATGCTGGCCTTCCCTGAGCTGAAAGTTTTGCTCCCTTAAAACCAACATGTCAGATTAAATTCGTCTCTCCCTTATGCTACTGTTTCTGACTTTTCAGTTTCTCTCTGTGGCATCACAATTCACCCAGTCTCCCATATTGGAGTTATTGACTTTCCTCTCCCTCACTTCTCACCTCCAGTCGGTTACCAGCTCTTGTTGATTTCAGTTCGGCAATGTCTCCCACCTCTGAGCTTTTGCCTTGGCTGTCTCTCATGCCTGGAATGCCCTCCCTCCTTACTGCTGCTTCTCAGAATACCTAATTTTCTTTAAAAACTCAGCTTAAGTACCACCTTCTCCATGAAGCCTTTGCTACCCCTGCAGCGGCTAATGCCTTCCCCACCAATTCTGTTAATTTTGTGTATGTCTTGCAAATTCTTCTATTAGCTCCCCTGAGAGAATGTTAACTTCTTGAGGACAGGGACTGGCCTCGAGGCCTACTGACTGGCACACAGTAGGTGCTTAATCAATGCTTGTTGTTTGACTGAATATCTTCTGAATTTATCTCCATTTCCACTGTCACACTCTGGTATACACCTTTCTTACTACTGTCTTAGATTACTACAACCACGTTACAGGACTTCTTGCTACCAGTATCCTCTCCCAGCAACCCATCCTTTCTTCTGCAGTCAGAAGTCATATCACTCCTCTGCTCATAAACCTTTAGTAGCTCCCTATTACTTTTTTTTTTCCTTCTTGGTGAGGTACTTGGAGTTAAGCGACTTGCCCAGGGTCACACAGCTAGTAAGTGTCAGGTGTCTGAGGCCGTATTTGAACTCAGGTCCTCCTGACCCCAAGGACAGAGCTCTATCCACTGCGCCACCTAGCTGCCCCTTCCCTATTACCTTTTGAGTAAAGTTCAGTTTTCCCTGTGCTCCACATGTGCCCAAACTACCTTCTCCCATAGTCCAGGCCAAAGGGACAACTCTTTGTCTCCACCCCCCCACTCTCCCAAACACCCCCGTGCTTGCACTCAGGCTCTTCCCTGTGTCTGCCGTACCCTCTCTCCCCTATTACCCTGGTGAGTTCCTATCTGTCCTTTAAAGACCAGCCAAAATGCCACCTCCTCCAGGAAGCCTTCCCTGATTATCCAGGCTGGCACTGATTTCAGGCCTCACCTGACACTTTGTAGCTCTTAGTTGTATATTATAGTTGTCTATGCCTTATTTTTTGGTAAAATAAGAGGGGAATAGTCAACTAAATGATACCAAAGGTCCCTTTACACTTTAGATCCTTTAATCCTAAATGTATTCCCTCCCACCCTGAAGGGTAGTGAAAGGGAAGGCTAAGGAAATCCAGGCCTATGGACTACCCGCGGAAGAAAGCACAGTTCTGGAGTGGAGATGGGAGGGGCTGGGGCAGAAGGCTGAGGGTCCAGGGAAAGGG